GTTATCTCAGGACACTTTTTAAATAGAGCAGGTCTAGACCCTACTCTTTATAACATTATTTACAGAGACCCAACAGTTCCCACCAAATTAGCACATCTTCAAATATAATTTATGATATTACACAATGATGTTTATTTTTTAGTTTAATTTACATTTAAATGATGTGAAGCAAATAAACAAGACACAGATATTTGCAATCAGGCATCTACAGTTATTTGTCTGTTATCTAAGTTATTCCATTACTGTTTTAAAGTTGCAGTCAGTTTGATGTATCCAGGTTCATTTTGTGCATCATGAATTTATTGCAAATGCTGTTGAAGTTAAATATATTATCCCTCCTATTGTAAAACCTTTGTGATATCAGCTATCTGATCCCTCAAGCATGCTATCACATCCATGTGAAGTAGAATTTAAATAGTGTATGATGCAGTATGTTTAGGAGTGGGATAAGACTACTCTGAAATTAGTTCAGGGACGACTAACAGCTGCATTTTACAACAGGAACATTTAAGACTAGATGGAGCATAACAATTGTATTCATACATCAGAGCAGTTTATTATTTATAGAAGCCTACAGAGAGAAAAAGAGTCAGAGGATGGGAGAGCTTTTTGCCTCCAGCTCTAAATGAAATGTCAGCTTCTGTAACTGAAACAATCTGTCTGTATCAGTCCACGCTCCACCACAAAATCAAGACACACTTAGCAAATGAATCATTTATTGTCTACGATGTGCCACATCATGCACACAGCAGTGCGCTAATTGTTTTTCCCAGAAATCGAAAAGTAAACACAGTATCAAATGTGTGTCTGTGCAGCAACCTTAAGTTTGATACGCCTGACCAAAGAGCATAAATGATAAAGAAGCAAACATGGCCTTCCAGGTCATCTAATTTAAAGATTACTGCCCCAGATGAACACAGCTGAGTGGCCATGACCTCATCTGAACTGAGGGAATTGAGTCTCGATCTCTAACTGAAACATTTTCACCAGATGGATTCCTATCATTTTTGTGGAAATTCCACTACGTACCATAATACATGCCAGTTGTTGGTCTAGAATAAATTAGATACCATAAAAAGGACCAAGCAATATGAGGCTATGAGACCTAAACCTAGTGGACAGCCATATAATGTACTGATAAATCAGAGAATTATACTAAATGATCACTGTATGGGATCAAACAGCAGTCCCAGTCTACAAATGTGTTGTTCTTAGAGTCAATTTAGTGTTTTGTTTG